AGAGAGAGAGAGAGAGAGAGAGAGAGAGAGAGAGAGAGAGAGAGGAGAGAGAGAGAACTTTAGGAAAATGAAACTACACTCTTTTGGGGAAGAAATAGAGAAAATAGATTTGTGTTCTGAATATGGAAAGAGACCTCACTACAATAGTAAAACAAAACAACTCCATTTTAAATGACTAAAAGTTCCACAATAAGGTATTTGAATAACCAAACAGAGATATAAAATTAAACTCAAATTAAAGCCACAACAGATGCCACCCCATCCTAACCGGTATGGCAGAATCAAAAACCGCTGATGATATTACACTTCACCTAAGACAATTAATAATGAAGGTCAAACTATTTCTACTCCGTGTTTTACTAGAAGCACCATGATGTAAGAAAAAGACTATGGAATAAGAGGACAGGGAACTGTAGCAGAAGAGAGATATCTTTATTTGTGGGTTGTATACACCAAAAGAATTATGTCTAAGTTTAATAAGTTATCAATAAGTAGTCAATATTGTAAATAGACACAGGTAGAAAGAAGCCTGAAAACAAAGCATGCAGCATCACAAATATGAATTACCTAAGAATAAATCTGTTGGAAGATAGTAGAGGGGTTTTATTTTTCCTTCAGAGGAGGTAAGTTGTAGAATATCCTTGAAAGAAAGTATAAAGAAGTATGACAAATTAAGTAATATTCCATATTTGCAGTTCCTAACACCCTTTAGTATAAGATGTAAATTATTGCCAAACTCATTTATAGATTCAATTCCATCCCAGTCTATACGCCACAGGTGTGTGTAAACTAACAAGCAGATGCCAAAATACTTTAAATGTGCTTACAGTAGCTAGGACATCCTCAGTGTGTGGGGGAGCCTGTCAAAAGACAGCCCCCAAACATTCGGCTATTACCACAGGAAGGAGATGATCTTAAAACTTAGTGAAAAAAAATAGGCTTTTCCATAAGAGATGATGAACGAACATATGAAAATAGTGAGCCTACTCTAATTCATAAAAAAGTCCTATTTGGGAAGTTTAAATTATGAAGTACCCAGAAAATAAAATACAATAATATCAAGAACAATACAAATTTAGTTATAAATATTATAAACAAAATGTAATATATCAAACATAATATTTAAGACATATTTGAAAATTTCTAAATAGTGATACGAGATTAAAAATCTTTACATGTGCATTTAATTGACGTAAAACATTGCATATATATGTGTATATAATATAGATACATGTATTAGAACTTCAACCTTAGTAATTAGAGACACAATTAAAATGTTTAAAATGCTAATTATTACATGGTCACTAAATTAGCAAAAAGTGTTAAAAGCATCACTGGGGCACTAGTATCAATATATTGGTTCTTATATTTATATGCACTGTAGTGTTCATAGAAGTCTTAAACTAAAAACATCTACAAATCAATCAATAGTATAAAACATAAAGCATAAATTATATAGTTTTACAATGGAATGTTACATAAGTAAAACTAGCAACATAACAATATAATACACCAGAGAAAGATTTGATTGAAAAAAGATACAAAAGAATTCAAACAATATGGGTCCATTTACACACAAATCCTAACCTGTCATAAAGTTACATGTTTACAATGCACATGGAAGTAACGATAATGAAAACACAACAATCATCTGAAAACAAGGAAGTTAGTTGGAGAGGAAGTAAAACAATGGGGTTTAGGGCTGTGTGGCCTGGTGGTGGCTTGAGGAACGGTCGTTCTCCTTCTTAAGCTATGCATACAGTTCTTTTGTATTGTGTAACAGTCCAGTGAAAGGAAAAAAAATATTTTATGGGTGCACTGTGGAATAATGAATTAAAATACTCAGAAATATTTTGCCTTCTAAAATCTAGATTAAATTTTTAGCTGGTATCTTTTGTTTGGGGGGGATTTAGTAATATTAATAGCAATAATAATACCAATAATAATCACAAAAGTTGCCATCCGTCAAGTCCCTCTGAAACATTAACCACTTTCAACTCATTTCTTGCCCCTCATCTCTGTGAGGTACATGGTACTGCTCTCCTTTAACAGATGAGAAGTACCAAAACTTAGGACGGCCGCGCAGCCACTCTGAATTTACACAGTGAGTGAATCTCAACTTCAAACCTCAGCTCACCCCCTGTAATGCCATGTGTTCCCACTAGGCTAGTCTCTTTATTGTGGCAATTATTGTTTTATTTTAATGGAATTTCATTCTTGTTAAAAAGAAAACAAATGCTTGCAGACCAGTGAGTAACTTTAGAAAAGCAGATAGGTCAATATTTGTTGCAACAATCTTGCCTGACATTTTTCTATTATTTTTCTCTATATATATTATTCTTTACTTAATATTTATTGACAGTATATCTTTTTATCCATAAAAGTTCGAAATGTATTTGGTCACAATTGTCCCAGCACTAGGGAGGCAGAGGCAGGTGGGATCTTTATGAGTTTGAGGCCAGCCTGGTCTACATAGAGAGTTCCAGGACAGCCAGAGCTACATAATGAGACCTGTCTCAAACAAAACAAAACAAAACAAAAAACAAAAAAAATTGGAACCTACCACAAATACTGTTCTGGAATCTTTCATTTTTCTCCCAACTCGATCACTACATTTATTCTTGTATTGTTAAATACGGCTAATGAAATGGTGGTACTTTTTCTCATGGAGATACCATCCTATTTAAACAACTCTCATATTCACATTTGATTTTAATGTTTTATTGCAATGTATTATTATTATCATTATTATTGGCAGTGCTGGAGATTGAATACCAGAGGCAGATACTCTTACTCATGAGCTACATCTTCACCCCTAATTAATTTTTAAATATAAAAAAGACACTATGATACTGTCAAGAATATTATCTGCTCCTTTGAAATAAAACTCTGACGTGTCCCAAGGGTGTGCTCAAAGTGCCTTTAATAATGTTTAGCTGAGCTTTCATTTCCTACCAAGTGAGTAAGAGTAGCAGCACCCACCACTGGTCCAGCTCCTTCACAGTGAGCATTTGTTCTGGGTGAGAACTGACTTGGCAGTGCCTTGCAGTCTCCTACTGGCTACAATGTATCCTTTCAGACCACCAAAGAATGTGTACTCGAATTCTCCAATACTTTTGAACATAAACCATAAACACTAGCAACTTCATCGGAACTATTCTGTAGTTGCCCCGTTTTCTTTTACCTTTCAGAGAAACAACATACCCCAGTTCATACCCCAGTGGTAGGCGAGGTTTTCACAGGTCTCCCCATCAGCCGTTACTGTGCCCCCCTACTTCAGGGTTTTTCCATGTGGAAAATTTCTCCCCTGAGCCTTGCCCACTGGGAGAAGCCCGCCAGCTTTGGTGAGGGAGCATGACTTGAGGTTTGCGCTTCTGTAATTTCATGCCTCGTTGCTATCATAAGCTGCTTCTAGCTCCTGAAATCTTCTTCCAATTTAGAAGGTAGAAAAGCATTTCTAAGCCTGTTAATATAAACATGCTCTTCTCCTAATTCCTAAAGCTAGCAAAGCGATGATTCATGCCACAGAATGGGGGTTTCATAAGTGGGCAGCAGCCTCCTAGATGCCCTCCGCTTGTTTAGAATGGATAGTCTCGCAGTGGTGTGAATTTTACCTTGTAGCAAGTATCTTGCTTTCTTCTTTCCTTCTTAGACTTAAAGAACCAACAGAAGGGAAATACATATGAGGGATGTGGAATGAGGCAGAAGGAATCCTACAGCATTGGAATGGAATTATAAATACGTGTGAATTAGCACATAACCTAGAACACAATCATTTTCATTGTCATGACCAGAAGCAATGACACCACAGTAGCAAGGAGCATCCCTATGCCCAGCGCTTGATGTTTTTTAGAACATCTTCATGCACTGGTTTTGATTTTTGAAAGGTCGTTCTTCTTTAAAAAGAACCAGCGTTCCTTGAAGGAGTGGAAAATTCCAGAAATAGAATAAAAATGTAGAGGGAGTAGAGAGTAATCAAGACATTATTGGTGTGTCAAAAGTACAGCTTTTCCAACAGCTTGAGCATCAAAATGAAGAATGTAAGGTGTTCCTTTTTTTTTTCTTTTTCCTTTTCTCTCCTTGTGTGTGTGTGTTTGGTTTGGTTTGGGCTGACTTTATACTGACACTGAAAAGGGAAAGATGCGGTTCGGGGTGGAAGCATTGTGATGTAAGAGGACATCAGTTAGTGAGTGTGGAAGAAATGGTAGGCTCAGAAAACCACTGTTCCATAAGCACCATTGTAATCCATCCAATCAAGAATAGACACTAAAGACCTGGGCGTGAACTGGGAGAACACAGGATACCCACGGAGTTCTGTAATTTACATATCGTTTAGACATTGAAAATGTAATTTTACAGCATAGAAATCTGGTGGATACCGCCATAATCAGATCATCAATTTTACCTTTACTAAGTAATGCTAGCATAGGCTAACACTATGTGCCACCTGTTGGGATATCCTGAGAAAATTATAATATTTCTTTGACTTTCTTGCCATGTATCTAACTTGATTCCATGAGACACAGTCAGGCAATATAAGCTGTGATCATTTATGAAGCTGTATTTGTCAGGAGTTTTCAAAAATAATAATTTCATGTGGAATAAAAAGAAAACGAATGGAGTGACTGCTTCCTAAATAGAGAAAAGAGGATTTTTTAAAAGACTGCAGAAAATGCACTATGGGATCATTGATGGGCCTGTTAGGTGAGAAAGG